AATTATTATTTACAACAGAAAGACATGAAGAGCTGTGATTTCTGAAGTTCCTTCTGTATATAAATACATAGGTACAAACTTGCTCTAACTATTTATAACTAAGAGTCTTAGATTTGAAATTCGGTATGCCTGTACATGGGTACCTTAGATGAAAATAAAAACAATTCAAACCCAACTCTTTAATACATTCTGAGTATAGACATCAATAATCTCAGTATAATTTATCTACGAAACTTGATTACATCATATGAACTTGTGAAATAAGTGCAAGAATTTACGACCTAAAAAGCGAAATAGCAGAGTTCTCAAGAAATGAACTTGATGATGGTTGCATTTGGCTAACTTCGATTCGCGTAACTCCGATTCATATGACGACGACGAGCTCAGTGTAATTGGACTGTGGGCGGCTCTTGTTCAAGGGTTCGATTTGATCACGTACAGCTGACCCTGGAGGTCTTTGTGACCATTAAACTTGCTTGATGGCGGACGTGTTAGGTCTCTGGTGTGACAAAGACTCAAACAACAAATGGTCAAGCAAAGAGCTGTTGTCTTTCCGACTATCGCTAGCTCTCTTGGATATACGTCCATATATATAATCGAGCAATTGATTTTATTTGACGCACGCGCAACTTTTATGCAACATTTGCGTTGTGCAAAAATACGCAAAGGGACAGCTGAACTCCGTTGATAGCTTTGTCCACTTGAAGTCTGGGCCTATCTCTCTCCTCCTCTTCCTCTCTCTCTCCCCCTCTCTCTCTCTCTCTCTCTGTTTGTGTAATAACATTAACAGCTACAAATGACAATTGTAACTGAAACCGAATCGCAAACTTCGCCCGCGGCTTGTTGCGTGAAGTGCGACGTGGGTGGCGTGAGAAAGTCCCAACTTTTAGTCATACGAAATATGTTTTTTTTTTTTTTTAGTTGTAAATCAAAGTGGCAAATGCTGTGCGTAAAGTTACCCTGGGATATGTGAGAGGTGAAATGTAGCTAAAACTGAAGTCAGCTTCAGTCATGAGCTCCATAAATATAGCCCTATATGTATGCACAGATATATTCCCATTTCCYATTCAAGTCTTATACACAATTTGCATAGAATGATATCACTTGTTCTATAAAAAAAATATGTTAAAAAAATAAAAAAATAAAATAGAAAAAACCCATATACCAAATTCTAACAATACTCTTTCCTGAGTTACTTGGGATTGTCAGAAATTTAACGATTGCATTGCTGGCTGAGGCTGGCGTCATTTAATAAGGTTTAACTAAAAACAACTTTGCTCTATAAGAAATGGAATGGAATTTGAGTTTTCATTTAAAAAAATATTAAAGACTTTATCTAAAGTATATTACAATATAA